TGGACGCTTTCTTCCACTATCCGTATGGGAAAGCAAGGCTACGACGTTGACGTCATCCAAAGTCAAGCTGAGGAAGAGCTACACCCGGTCCTCGGACGGACCTTCTGGTTGAATTTGAAGGAAGTGAACTACAAAGACATCACGGAAAAGTAACTGAGGATGTACTGTCTTGTGAAAGGCAGGTCAGGGCAAACGCCAAGTCCAAAGCCAAGGGAAAGAAGAAGGGTGGCCAAGGTGACGGTGATGACTTGTTCCTCGTTTCAAGTGAAAGTGATGTGGAGGTGGTTCGCGTGGAGAAGGACAAGGCCAAGGGCAAGGAGACTGCAGACGCAGAGAAGACAGCGCGCTCTGTGACGGCTACAACTTCCAAGGCCTTGCCAGGCTTGCTCAGCGCTTTGCTTGATGTAGACCAAGCCGCAAAGGACGCAGAGCTTTACGCGCAAACCTCGCTGAAGGGAAAGCTTGCAGAAGAGTTTATCGCCTCGCTCAAGGAGGCTTCCAAAAGCTTGGGGAAGAAGCAAGAAGAGGCCGCTGAAAAAAATATCCCGGGTCACTCGAGGAGTTGATGTCCTGCCGGTGGCTTGGACTCTGGCAGAATGCCAAGCAGACATCAAGGCTGCAATAGCTCAGGCGACGAACTACAAGCAAGAAGTGAAACGCTTGAGGAAACTTGACAGGGGAAAGACCTCCTCGAACCAGCCTGAAGGTGAGGCAGAGCCCAAGAGGAGGCGCAGGGAGCCAGACTGCACCAACGCCAAAGGCGAAGGCGAAGTCTTAGGGGGTTTTGGATGGATCTGTACACATTCATCCATGCGTTGCAAACATGGTCGTTTCCGACCGTGCGTTCTTTCAAGAAAATTTGAACTTTGAAGAAGCTTGGGGGGAAGAGAAAAACATGTTCTCAGCAATGTCTCCGCTCATGGAGTTGTAGTGACAATGTTTGAAGCCCCCTCAAGAGGTTTGTTGAGCCTTTGGTGGAAGAAACAAAGCATGTCCTCAGCGGTGTATCCGCTCATGGAGTTGTATAGTTTGAAGCCCCC